AGTAGCTGGGACTACAGGTGCCCGCCACCGTGCCCAGCTATTTTTTTGTTGCAGTTTGGCCAGGGCCAGGTTTGAACCCACCACCCTCAGTATATGGGGTCAGTGCCCTACTCACTAAGCCACGGGTGCCACCCCCTGGGCCACTTTTAAGATGTGGAAATTGAGAAGTCATCTGTCTTGGCCCGGGTCACATGACTAGGAGATAACCTTGATCTGTCTGATTCTAGAGCATAAGCCCCCAATCCCTTGAAGAGGCATAATTAGAGAGTTGTGTTCCCCTTGGTACTAACATTTTGGAAAGATCCCTGGTTTTGAATTCATTGGCTAAGAAGTAGGTCTTTGGTCCTTACTGCCTTTTCCTCCTTCTCTCTTTCTCCTGACACCCTTGTGTTCTCCACCTGCCATTCCTCTTCCCCAGGATGCATTTCTCTACTCACAATCACAACCATAGTTAACCCTAAACAGACCGCATCCACGATTGTGTGGCCTCAGACAGCATCAATGAACATAGGCTCACCAGCACATCACATATCTGATAACTCCAACATTACCCCCACCAAATGGCCAGCTAGAAGACAAGACTTCTCAGCTGACTTCCTGGGTGGCTCTTGGGGCTGTCAGCCCTGGGCATTGGTCCAGCCTATGTGTTTAGGTTAAAATTGAATGTGCTCTATTTAGACCTTGTAGGAGGTAGGTCAGCCAGAGCCTTTGGAATTCCAGTCAGTGCCAATCCCAGGAGAAGAGGATTGAACTCTCCATGGCAATCGGGCTGTTGTGTTTTTGTTTTGGTGATGAGGAGCTGTAGAGTCCACTGTGGGATACTTTCCACTGCCCTGGGGGAGACAGCTGCCAAGCTCCTCTGAGTCCGGGTGCACCAACTGTACTGTACAGGACAGAGGAAGAACATTCCATCAGGCTGAAGCAGACCAGTCGCCCCAGCCCAGAGCAGACTAGCCATCCAGGCAGTGCCTGCCCATAACCTGTAGAGCTCTAGCCTCAGGCAGAAGAGAGGGGGCGGTGGAGAAAAGGAGGGGGAGAACAGGGTGGGGCTGGTGTCCTGGGCGCCACTCTGCCCAGTACCTCCCTGCCGGATTGCTCTAACTTCATGGCTCATATTATAGTTCTGTGGGCGGCTCTTCAGAGTTAGAGGAGGGGACGCTTGTAGCCTTCAAAGCATCTGCCTTCTCAGTAATTGTACACAGTGACTTTCCTTTTGAAAGCTCCCATGAAAGTCAGGTGACCTGCCTGCATAGTGTTCTTTCACAGAGTTTTCTGTGCTCCTATTTTATTAGACAGTGCAATTGCCCTGTACACCCAGCCCTCTGTGGCTGCTGAGGGACCCTCTGGGTGATCTAAAGACGGATCTCCAGAGGAAGTCAGCCAGCGTAGGGATGGAGTGGAGGGCTGACCGCCATGAGGAGGCCCTTCTTTCCAAAATCACTAGCCAGTTGCCTAGCCTGTCTGGCCGGCTCCTGTTTTACAAGCTTTGATAGTTTTAAATAGAACAGCTATCCTGTGGTTGGCAGATCACCATTGGCACCTGAGCCACAAAGGGGGGAAAACACCTTTGATTAGTGGTGCTCAGTGTGAGTGCCTCTTGCCCAGGAATTGTTATGCTTTTCTTGGGAGAAGGAACAAAGACATTTCAGATGAGTGATAACCCTTCTCATAAAAGCCACCTAGGTCTGAGGCGTGGAAGATACATTTGAAAACGCTCTGCACATGTCAATTGTGACTGCTAGGTCACTTGTACTGTCCTTTGCAGAGGCTCAGCTCCAACTAACCAAACAAAATGGAAGTCATTAACTCTTCATAAACAAAAGTCCACACACTCGAAGTCTTTCTCCTGCCTATAATTGGGATGTTTTGCCAATTGGGATGTTTTGCCCTCTGTTGGCTCCATTCTTCCCTGCTGCAGGCAGAGTTTTCTCCATGTTGGGAGACTTTCATTCATGTCTTTACAGCTCTCGGACCCAAAAGGCTAGAATCTGTGGCTGGGCACAGTGGTTCACACCTGTAATCCTAGCACTCTGGGAGGCCAAGGCGAGTGGATGGCTTGAGCTTATGGGTTTGAGACCAGCCTGAGCCAGAGTGAGACCCCATCTCTAAAAATAGCCAGGTGTTGTGGTGATGCCAGTAGTACCAGCTACTCAGGAGGTGAGGCAAGAGGATCTCCTGAGCCCAAAAGTTTGAGGTTGCTGTGAGCTATGACACCATGGCACTCTACTGAGGGTGACAAAATGAGACTCTATCTCCAAATTTTAAAAAAAGAAAAAAAAGGCTAGAAGCTTTCTTATATAGCTCAATACAGGGTGGCCATAAAGTGCATTTGACCTGTTTTCTGATAGGCTCATCTCTGGATTTATTATGGCCAATGCTAGGGGAACTGGCTGCTGTGATTAGCAGCCCTCGGAAGCATCACATAATGGACATGAGGGACGAGCCACTCCCCACAGATATGGGAGTGAGGGACAGATAAACAACGGTCATCCTCTGCAGTGCTGTTTACTTGTGCTCTGGTTACGGTATACACCCTCTCCATACTGGACTTGTGTGTGCATGGCTAGCACCTCGCTCTGGGAGGCCAGCGGCCACACAGAGCAGGGGCCCTGCCTCTCTTTCAAAGTGAATGACACCCTCCTGCTCACACACCACATCTAGGTATCCTTTGGTGTCATGGTTTGTGCTGAGCATTGGCCAAATAAGAAACTCTGACCATTAGCAGACATGTGGCGGATCATTAATGCTAAGCCAGATGACATGAGTGTGTCAGGTACCAGGCTTCAAGCCGAGCTCCAGTGAGCCGCAGGTACAGCAGGAATACATGAAATGCACCCAGAGCAGCCCCACCTTCTTGCTGATGCAGACGGCGCTCAGCACCATCTACAGCAGACTAGGGCCTCAGTATTTACTTCACCAGCCTTTGTCAACCCCTTACCACGCGCTCAGCACTGGGCTGCCATCAGTAAGTGAGTGAGCAAGTGTGTGTGTGTGTGTGTGTGTGTGTGTGCTTATGCATGTGTATGTGGTGGGGGTGGTGGGACCAGGATGTATCTGGAGAAGAAGGGTTCTGGAGGAGGTGCCAGTGGGTAGGAGAATGGCCTGGAAGATCTCTAGAGCAATGGCTTAGGTGCCATTCACTAATCTAACTTAAGATCATTGTTTATTATTATTTATAAGGGTTTTGTCAGGCACTTAATAATTCTGTCCCTGGGTGTGACTCTGGATAAGAATGGGGTGAAGCAAGCATCAAGTCAAATGAACTCTTTCAGGACTGATAATGGCTCTGCATTAGGGTAACATCCGGCTCAAACGTCACATCCAGTTGAATAGCGTTTGCAACCCAGAGGAACCCGCACTATGTAATTTGGTATGGGATTGCCAGAATCACAAAACCATGGACATATCTTTAATGCTGAAAAAAATTTAAGCAAATGTCAGACACAATCTCTGCATTTGACAGGTGACAGACAGGGGGCCAGGGTTCTGAAGCTAGTGAGGGGTTGCTGGGGTTTGGCCTCTGTTAACTGTGTTGCTCTTACATTCTTTTGCTCATTTGTTCATCAGCAGATGTTTCCGGTGCCCTACACCTTACTAGGTATTTGGCAGCTTTCTGTAAAGGAGACATAAATGTAATTATTTGTGCATGTATTGACTTATTTAATCATTCATGAGATGGATCATTACTGAGCAGCTACTATGTGCCAGGCACTCGTCTAAGTACCCAAGAGTCACTCACTAGCTCTGTGGTGTTGGAGAAGTTACTTAAAATCTCTGATTCTAAGCCGCATTCTCCAATTCTCCAGCATTGCTCTAAGCAGCAGTAAACCAAGGGTGACTTCATGGAGTTACTGAGGGTTGAATAAGGCAACATTTGGAAAACATTTGGAAAGGTGCCTAGCATTCTGGTAAGTGATCATAAACATTTAGCCATTGTTCTCATTAGCATCTTAAGCACTATGAGAGAGGTGTGTGCACGGGTGGGCAGGAGGACAGGAAAGCAAGTGGCTGCACCTGGGGTAGCCCGGGAATGCTTCCCGGAAGATGAGCTATGATGGGAGGTTGGACTGATGAGTGTGAGTTTGCCATGCAGAGCCGAGGAAACGGCGAGAGGGAGCACAGGAAGAGAGATCTATCCCAGGACCAGCGTGCTGCTT